TTTCAGTTAGTGCAATGTTGGAGTAATCTGAAGGTTTTAAAACACAGCTGAGGAGCCGAAGGGACAGCAGGTGAGGATAAATGTCTACTACTCATGGTCACTATTTGTTGTCACTCTTCCTCAAGCTGCTGCACTGTGGATCTGACAAGAAGCTGCTGGAGTAGTAATCACAGTGGTACCACTCCTGGGGGACCTTTCTAAGAAAAGTAGGATTTAGCAGCTGTTTGTAAACAGACATGTATTATTTCCTTTCCTTTACATTTTGTTTCAAAGAACTGTAAATTAAGACTTTTCACAACAGCAAAGGGTTAAGTTTTGCTTTATAAAGAGAAAATATGCTACTGAAGTTATAAATTGTTTGAGAGCCAAATGATGCTGAAACAACTGATTGTGTTCTATCATAGTTCTGAGTTTATAGTAAAAAATTTGATAGATATTTATCAATTAGGGCTGGATTATTTGTACCAATGATGTTGGTGAAATGTGTTCACATCTTTAAGCTTCAGAGAAAACCTGCCCCAGGTGAAGGGAATATACCAATTGATTTAAAACCAGTCATGGTGGTGTTTTACTTCTTGCCAATAATTGATTCAGACAAAGGTATGTAATAGGGTTCTAGCCAATGAATCAAACAGGGTAATCTGCTAAAATCTTCTGGGAGAGGGTCCCTTGATTGTAGGACAGACCTATGGGAGGAAATAATTTTTTTATCCTCTAGAAATGATGGTATGTGAATGTGATGTTTGGATTTGCCCAGCCATTTTGTGCCATGAGAGAAGATAATTGAGGGCAATGCATTATGTACATTAGAAGAGCAAGAAGAGAAAAGAACTGATTCTTTTGTGTCATTACTGAGTGGCTGAATTGCTATTTCTGGACGCATTTATGAAGCAGTATATTTAGTGGTGTGGTGCTTTGAATAGAGTTTTCAAGTTTGCATAGGATGGTAAGCTTTATCACATAAAAACATATACTATGGGGCTGGGGATTTAGCTCAGTGGCACCACACCTGCCTCGCAAGTGCAAGGTCCTGAGTTCGATCCCTGGTACCAAAAAAAAAAAAAGTACATGTGCAGTTAAATTTGAATTTCAGATAGACATTGAATAATGTTTTAGTTTATGAATGTCTAATGTGATATTTATCCTATGTGATATTGAGGACATGATAAGCCAAAATATTATTTGTCTCTATTTAAAATTTAAAACTAACTAGAAATCTTGTATTTTATCTGGCAACTCTAAACTTACAGTAAAATGAAATCTACTTAACTCAGTAATGAAAGAATTTTCTCATTGTTAAGTTGCTTAGACTGGGCTCAAACTTGTGATTCTCTTACCTTTCCCTCCCAGATTACTAGAAGTATAGGTACACACTGTCACAACCGGCTGAGTATGTCGATTTGAAATTCAACTTCCTATTCCTAAGAACCAATAAAAGTTGCCAGAATATTTTTCTTGTTGAAGTTCGTTAATGAATCCCATTCAGACTTGAAATTTTGTTGTAATACAGATTAACAGTGGAAAGAATTAAACGGAGTTTAGTTAGAAACAGGACTTGTTTGGGCTGGGGATTTAGCTTCGTGGTGCACCGCCTGCCTCATAAGGTCCTGAGTTTGATCCCTGGTACCCGCTCCTCCCCCCCAAAAAAAAGAAAAAAAAAGGAAAGAAAGGAAAGAAACAAGACTTCTTTACTTACTATCTGTGTGGTCCTGGAGAAATCAACTGAGTCTCAGTATTTCTCTATGTGGTTTGAGGAATTACTAAGTTTCATTGTAAGAAGCAGCTATCATCTCTTTACTGTAATGATTGTAAAGAACTTAGGTGTACTTACATGGGTTTTTGTGCTAATCAATGGAAATTCATTTATGTAACCAAACTCCTTTGCTCTCATGGACTAGGCAGAATGAGTGCAACAACATATGTACAAATTCAAAAAAAAAAAAAGAGAGAGAGAGAAACATGTACAAATGAGGTGACTCCTAGAGTGAGGAACTTGCATTGTTACCTTACCACATAGCTGAGTTTTACCATTGACGCCCAAGAGATTGCTCAAAATGCTTATCCTATTATTATTTATCTTATTATCATTAGATAAACTGAGGAAAAAAAAGTTGTGACTTTTCTCAGATCGTGGGGACTTATCTTATTCTTAGTTATCCTCAGCATGAGATGCAGTTAAGTGCCTCACACTCAAATGGTGGAGCACATATTGCCTTAGGATGGTTTCCTGCCCCGTAGACAATGAACAGATCGTACAATCTTCCTAAAACTTTGTATCACATTCAAATTGCTAGGATGCCAATATTGTGAACTTTCTACCCTTTTTCTGTGCAAAAAAGCAGTTCTCACAGAGAAAAAAAATAGAGCCCCCAGAATGACAGCTGTGATGTCGAGTTTTATGATCCTGGAGAAGGGAAGACTTGGAGAGGGAGGGAACTGCAGCTGCCCTGAAGTAGTTGCAGAGCTGTCACTTGGGAGAGAGGCTTGCTCAGGCTGTGAGTGCAATGTACAGCATGATGGTGGAGGGATAGAAGTGAAAGGGAAGTACTGGCAAGTTAAAGCCATCAAAACTGCCCATATCACAGTGCACAAATGTGGTAGGGTCTTATCTATTTAGATATTGCTTTGAAAACTGATGACTATTATCAGGAATATTAGAGCAGTAACTACAGCTCTATTTTTTTCCTAACTTGCAAAGCGGGGATAGGAATTCCAATTTATCATCTCACAGGTGAGAGATTTGACCCAGCTAAACCTGAAGAGTCTCTGACTAATGTTTAGGCATCTGTAAAGTCCTAGTGGTATAGACAGCTGAGTCAGGTAGATATATTATAGGCAGTCAGATAGGGTTAGGTCCTTGAGAGAGTCAGGACAAAGGTGAATCACATCACAACTGTGGCCAGAGACATATGTTGGAGACCAGGCCTCAAGATAAAGACAAGATGACCAAACCTGTATACTTCCTCAAAGGACAAACATCGGGCCTAATGAAGTCTAGATAGACATCATCCACCCCAGTGGGTGACCAGAGACCTCTGGACCCACCATTTCCTAGGAGAGGTCTTTGTTCTTTCCATCCACACTTGCTACATGACTTGTTTCCCGATTGGACCACTGTTACCTAAGTGACTACACTTATTGGTTGGTCATGGCTGTGACTCACATTGTACCCAAGTGGGTTTTATTCCATAAAATTCCCCTGTAGAGTAGGGTCCTTGCCTACCCATTTGGGACCCTTCCTGCCTCTCAGGAGCTTCCTATCTATAAATATCTTCCTACCCTTAAACTCCATTGTTCCTAGAATTCATTTTTCATTTTACAGAGAACAGGAGCTTGGTGTATCAGACATCTAACAGGTTGGGAGATATAATATTTCATCTCTGTTATCATTTCTTTTATCACTAGTGGCAGTAGATTTTTAAAGTGCTGCAGGCTGGAAATATCTTGGGGGTTTGAAAACTTTGTATGCTGGTCACATCTGCAAAGATTATGGTTTAAGTAGTATAGGGTTCACCAGAGCATTGAAGATTTTTTTCAAAGCTCTCCAGATTCTAATACACACTAATTCTGAGAACCACTGAAATAGTCTATTGATTTTAGATTATTGTATGAACTCTGATTCAATTGACGATGTAATGTTAAGTAACTGCTTTAACTTTTCTCAATTCCATATTCCTTATTTATGAGGAAGAGAGGGGGAAATATACTTCTACATCACTTGCTGTAAAATTTTTTTATTCAATGGAACCCAAATCTAAAAGGTTTATGAGTTAGGGAAAAAGCACTTCCTCATCCCCCAGAGAAAGAGTGTCTCTGTTCTGAGATGTGGGAATTAATGGCACTCTTTTGCTGTCTCAGGGGCAGCAGTCAAATCCATGCAGAGTATGTAGCACCACTCTTAGCTGGTGGTTTGTTTCAGTCATTTGCTTACGTCAGGTCTACACCTTAATGTTGTTTGTTTTGTTTTGTTTTTATCCATTACTCAAGCTATACTATTACCACAGTGGGAGTCATCTGATGAGGGACTGGATATATTTCTTGGTGTTTTGCGGATGGTTATACTTCTTTATGCTCTCTTGGGCATGCTGTCTCACATCCTACTTAGTGATTGCTTACAATGTGTTCCTAGCCTAACCCTGGGGACTCATGTTGTCTGTTGGTCTTCACTTTAGTTTTATCTGAACGAGACTGTATAATCTCATTGTCACTCTGGTCATATGGCAACTGACACTAGCCAGGTCATGATAAACATAGAACTATAACATTCTTCTTTTTTTTCCTGCAAGAAAATGTAAGGAGGACTCCAGTGATCAAGTTTTAGCAGAGATGTTGTTTGTATTTCAGCTAATTCATATCTGTTGGTGAAGTTTTATTTGCCACACAATATGCGCAAAATAATTATAGAATGCTTGCTATTGTGAGGTATTAAGAAATTAAAATTTTATGTGGAGAATATGATCTAGTGATTTTCATTTTTAAGTGTGAAATTTCTGACTTATAAAGGGAAAGATCTGTTTGGAAGGATGGTCCCCTATTGTTTGACACTTGGTGAATTTCTATTTTTGAAAAAAATGCAGTTTTCCAAACACCCACTACTATGTATACAGTTCAAGATAAATCGCCAGTTAAAAAATCTTATCTGAAGAAGTTTTTGGAAACGTTGAATTTCTTGTAAAAGTGTTTAAAATATTCTTTCTTCTTATTCTAGATGTTAGACTGGACAGGTTTACTCTGATGTTTGTGTAAGTACTATCAGTGCAGCATGGAAAAGGGGAAGTTTTTTTTTTTTAAACATCAGTGACAGCAACAAATCAATAAGAAGGATCATAGGGCACCATGTTAATGACAAATCACAGGAGGTGGCTCCATAAAGGTTGTGAAAACTAGTTTCTCATTGCAGGAATTGGGTTGGGCCACCCATTTACCCCCCTTCTCAAACACAAATATTTTCATAGAATAAAAGCCTGTTTCCCTATGCGTACTACCCAGCCTCCATTCCTCAGACACCACCATTTTTAAGGGGTTTAGTGCGCGGACTTCTCCAAAGTTTGTAGGTTTTATCTCTTTCCAGACCTTGTCTTGTGGAAGTGAGGGGTCTCTTTGGGGTGAGAGGGACAAGAAACACCCACTAGGACCCAACCTCGGCAGTCAGCGGCCGAGCATGCGCTGAGAGTTTATGCAGCTGGCCCTGGCGGCCACTGCTGCCTCGTCCGGGACTTGGCGAGGACTTGGGAGGGACAGCGGCGCTGGGAGGTGGCTTAGCAGAGACTTTCCAGCAACTGCTGCCCAGGACTTCTTTTTTTTTTTCTCTTTCTTTTTCCCAGGAGGCGGCGACGGTCGGGGGTGGGGGTAGGGAGTGGAGGGAGGAAGCGAAGGAAGAGAAGGAAGCGTCCACTGCTTGAGCCAATGCAGCCCCGCGCCTCTCCGGGAGCAGCGTCCGCGCCCCAATGAGCCCCCGCCGAGCGTTCCTGAGTGTCCCCCGGCGGGCGCGGGGCGCGGAGCCGAGCGTCGACGGTGAGTGGCCGCGCGTCTCGCGTCTTTCTGCCCGCTGTCCCACCAGCCCGCCGCGGCTGCCCCGGGCGCTGAGTTGCTGAGCTGCTCGCTCCGAGGCTTGCGGCGGAGCCGGCCGCCCGCGTTTCCCCCCGCGCCCTGCCGGGGGCGCGCGGCCGCAGTGGCGGGGCCGGGGACCGCGCCGGCTTTGTGCTCCGCGGGCGGTTGCTCCGGGCGCCGGGTCGCCGCCGCGTCCAGGCCGTGGGGAGGGGGTGTGAATGACCCACCCGGCGTCTGCACAGCTGCACCGGCCCTCATTCCCCGACGCCCCATCCTCACCCCCCGCCCGGGGCTAATCCATCACGCTCGGTCGGAAAACACCGTTTCACACGTTCTCCCGGAGAAACCCTAGCTGCAGGGCGGAATCCCAGCTCCGCGCGGTGCTCCTCGGCTCCCCAGGGACCACTCGCGAGCTGCAGGACCGGGTTGAGGAGCGCGGAGTTGTGGGCTCGGGATCGTACGAGGAGAGGCACCTCTTCGGGGCCAGTGTGCTTTCTAACCTTTAGGACAGTTCGGAGCAGAGCTGTTCCCAGGAGGGGCGTGGGTCGAGGGAGGTTTTAAAGAACTTCGGGTCGGGACGCAGAGGACCCTCGCTGCGTGTCCCCTGAGAACGCGTTTACTGAGCTCTTTCATTCATCCCCAGATTCAATCTTTTTTCTTCCCAGCAGGTGTTATCTGAAGCCACTTTGAAACTTTTGAGAGTTTAGTTTCTATTATGACTTTAACAAATGAATTTCGATGAAGCGATGTCCTGAATGAACTAGGTTTGGGGACCAACTGAGGGCTGGCGCAGGAGGGCTGGGCTGGCCCTGGGGAGCGCGGGGCTGAGACGGGCCCTTTTCCCCCTGTGCCCTGCAGATAGCAGCTGCTCTGCCGGCGGCTGTAGGATGTGGTGAAAGGATGGGGCTTCTCCCTCCTGAGGCTCACAATGGCCAGAGAGGATTCCGTGAAGTGTTTGCGTTGCTTGCTCTACGCCCTCAATCTGCTCTTTTGGGTAAGTCAAACAGTTCCACTACCCAACAGGTGGGGACGGCTGGACCCGGTTTTCTGCAGCCACCAGATAATGTGCCGAAGGGCATGTCTCAGCATTAATTAATTACATGGAATCACACCCTCCATTTGTCAGAGAAATAAAATTCGACCTTCATAAAATGTCTTTGATCAAGCTCAAGTTACATTTGTAATTAGAAAAATGAAATCCACGACTGGATAGTAGTGTCAGCAAAATTAGACCTGGAGTTAATCTAGGGTTATAAATAAATGCACGTGCTTGCACTGATAGATAAGAAAATTATGACATACCACTTAGGGAACCAATTGTTTGCAGGAATTTTAGATAACTGTGCAAGCCATGCATTTTTTCCTTACATCACTCAAGCCTATAAAAATTGATTGCGGCAAGCAGTCTTAATATGTTTCTGTAGGAATTCATACCTAGCTATCTTATCAAGACTGAATGGATTCTTCTAGGGCATTCCATACAGTCTGAAAAGTGAATTCCACGTATTTTTAAGTTGGCAAAGTTTAAGAAATTTTACATATGCTTTTGGAAAAATCTCATAACTATCTGAGGAAATAAAATATATAAAATTTTTATGCCCTATGAGTTAGTGACTTTTTGTACTTTATACTCATCGAAAATTTTCATACACTTTTATTAATAATCACATTATCATTTATAAAGCTTAAAAAATATAAAACTAAAAATTTGAAATTTTTTGCAGGAGGCTATCATGCTTAAGCAGGGTGGGGTTTTTTGCTATTTTAAAAAATGTTTAGTCAATAATTTATATTCAAAATTCCTGCTAATAATTATAATGTGCAATTACTTTATTTGACTGACTGCTATTGACCAGCCTTTTTTCACAAGGCTGTTACACTTGATCTCTAGAGGAAGACATTTTGGTTAAACTGCTTCTTATAGATGGTATCAGTTCAAGTAAGTCTCAGTTCAGTGAGTACTCTGAATCATATCTAAATGGCAACTTTATTTTTTTCAACATGAAAATTAAATCATTGAATAGTCACATTCTCCATTTAGAAATGCAAGTGATCTTTTTGTAGTTTTTAAATTACTGCTTATGAAGATTTTGAACTCAGTTTCTTTAGAAATATGTAATTACTCCTACTTGCTAGTTTTTCTCTTCTCTGCATGCTGTTTTTTTAATTGTAGAATCATCACATCCTATCACTAAGAGGAAGTTGAAAGATGGCCTGGTTGAACTTCCTTTCTTTGTGAATGAGGAAATTAAGAGCAAGTTAAATGACTTGCCAAAGGTCAAATATCCTACTGGGGGTGGTGCCAGGAACAGAACTCAGCTTTCTTACATTTAGATCATGCCTTTAATATGTAGCTTTGTTCACTTTTGAACCTTGACATGACCAAGATTTCTTTGTTCTTCAATAAAAAAATGAAGCTTTGGAAAATTTCTTGACAATTTGTATTGTGCTAACGGAAAAACTTCCAAATCATTTAATGAAACTATTGCTCTTCTGAAAAATGAAATTTTTCCAAACCACCTGTTACTTAAACTCCTCCAGGGCTCTTTGTGTCCCCAGAGAAAGAAATAATGTTATTATTTTATTGGTATCCTACAATTCAACTTTCTGGCTTTGCACGTGTGCATTCTATTTGTTGATTTATTTGGATTGCTTCCCTCTTTCCGGAGCCCTCCCATTCTTCCAGTGTCACCTCTCCACTAGAGGAATCTAAGTTTGCCACTAATATGCTCTTCTATATTTTAATTCATTTCAAATGCAGTAAATTTACCCATACTTGTTCACATAGACCCTAACCGCCATGATTTTTCTTTTTCTTAAATTGTTTCTTCAGTTGGGTTAGTCTTAGGAGTGGAATTGCCATGTCAAAAGATATGTAAAAACAACACTAACAATAAAAACAGAACAACAATATCTAAGATACACAGATAACAAAAATAGCTAACAAACGATTATTACTGTTTTTGTGAGACACATTCAGTATCTGTTTCCTTAGTCCTTAAAATAGATATAATTCCTACTTTTTAGAACTGTTGGGAAAATTAGAAATTATGTATGTAAAGCACGTAGAACTGTGGCACATGGTGCTATCTATGTAGTAGTAGTCTGTAGTTTTTATTCCTATAATATCAATAATGCTCACATAGATTACCAGGAAGCAGGTTGCTACGACCTTTGTTCAAATAATAGTAGCAATTATTATTGTGAAGCAGTGCTACTACTGCAACCACTATTAAGTTCATTTGATCTAGCAACCTTGTTCTGGAAACCTAACCCTTAGTAATAAAAGCACAATTATGTGTACAGAAATATTTGGTTTTTTGGTGTGATGGTACATTTTAATTTTTGCCAATCTGGAAACTTTAAATTGTTATCTCACTCTTACTTTATTTTGTATCACTCCCACTACCACTGAGCATGAACTGTATATGTGTGTGTATATATATATATATATAATTTCATATTTCATATACATTGACTATTTCACAGTTATTTAGGTTTGTTCCATTGGTTGTTAGTTTATGTTGTTGCTACTGTACAATAGTTTGGATTTTTTTTTTTGAAACAGGGTCTTAGTATGTACCTGAGCATGGCCTTGAACTCACTGTACAGCCCAGGCTGGCCTCGAACACGTGGCAGTCTTCCTGCTTCAGCCTCCCAAGTGCTGGGACCAGGCGTGTGCCACCATGCCTTGCCTAGTTACTATATTACATGTTCTTTTTAAATATAATTTTTCTATAGAATTGTATAAGTTCTTTTACATTTTACAACTACATTTCTTATCTTGGGTCAAGTTCCTTTTTTCATATATACTTTAGGATTATTTTTTCCAATTAAAAGTATCTACTAGCATTTTTATTAAAATTATATGAATATTCATACTAACTTCAGGAAAACTAGCGCTGTTTTTCAAGGTTGAGGCAATGTTTTCTATTTTATTACCAAGTAAGAGGCAATTTTTATCTTCTGCTGGGCATTTCCTGAGCATCTTTACATTTCTCTCATTTAATTCTCCTAACAACCCTGTAAAATAATTTTCTTTCTTATTCCTCTTTCTTTAGGTAAAGAAACCAGTACTCAGAGAAGTTTAGTAACTTGCTAGTAAGTAGCAGAATAGGAATTCAAAGTCCAGTTTTGTTCTTTTATCCAAGGGTAGTCAAAGTTATATTGCTGGGAATAGTGGGGAATGTGTTTGGAGAAGCCAAGTAAACATCTTTAGTAGGAGGGATTAGCTGTCCACCTGCTCATTCCAAGTCCTCCAGAGGCGGGCTTCTCAATCAGTGTGCCTGCAGTCACCTGTGCATCCTGCTGAAATGTAGAATGGGATTTAGTGTGTTACTGTCTGGCATGAGAGTCAGCATATTTTTCAGTGTTGTAAGTGGAACCGAGGGCCCCCTGCATGCGAGGCAAGCCAGGCAAGTGCTCTGTCACCGAGCTACATCCGCAGCCCTCAGAATTTTATTTTTATTTTTATTTTTTGTGGTACCGGGGATCAAACTCAGGACCTTGTGCTTCTGAGGAAGGAGCAGCGCCACTGAGCTAAATCCTTGGCTCTGCCCTCAGCATTTTAAACTAGCTCCTCTGTAATGTTGATGCTTCTGGTCTGAGCTGCCCCCTACCCCCCAAAAACACAGGAACAAGACTTTAGTATTTGCTTTTAATTCTTACTGGAACCAGACTTCACATCTTGATTATGGACAGAGACTATTCTTCTCTATAGTGTTCAAGATTGACAGAGCTGCCCTTGTCATCCATGGGATCAAAAGCTGGTGTATCTCACTCTTTACTCTGCATTTTAATAAACATATTCCTGTCTGTGTCTGTGATATTGGTACCCATTTCATTTCTCTACCCCACTGGGATTTTACAGAAGAGAAGAATAAATCCTAATCAGGAAAATACTTTGCTTTGCTTTCTGGGAGTTGAAAATCAAATTGAATGATTTCTTTTTTCTTTTTGAGTAAAAAGTACTTCTTTAGTATAAGTGGAAGGCATTGATGTGTTTAAGAGGGCACAGTCCAGAGCACGTTTGAGATCACAAATGCTCTGTGTTCTCCGAATGGCTGAGAATGCACTACCTCGATTTGCCATCTGTTGAGCATCTCTGCCATGTTATAAAGGTTACCTGCAGTTCCCATAGGGTGGCTATAAACATTATCATGAAATCCAGGATGATTGTGAGAGGGAAGTGAAGGGAATGTCTGCTAACACACCAGAGCACCGGAGGCTTAAAGTGAGTCTCCTCTGGTCACCAGTCTGGGTGGTCACCCTACATGCAGGGAGAGCTCATGATATTTAAAAACAATCATTCAGGTCAAGTCCAGGGTGCTATTAGGTCAACTCTGATTAATATTGTTCATGCTTAAACGATTCCCACAAGTGATTTCCACACCTCATGTCAGCCCTCCTTAATATTGTTCTTTCCTTCATAGCATTGACAGTGTTATGTACCAACCCTATTTTCTTCGATGTCTCCTGTTAAAGGAAAAGTGGGGAAGGTACTAATTGCCAGAAAGGCAGAGAGGAACAAGTACAGGAACATGAAATAGATGTGTTACTCTATGGCATTTACATTGCACAGTGGCAAACAAATAATTAAGGATTTATTTTACATCTCAATAAAAACAGTTTTGAAGAAGAAAAGCTCCCACTCTGATTTCTGTGTTTTCAAGATGAGTGAGTAGAGGTTCTCAAAGTTTGAATTATTTTTTCATTTTCTCTTTGTAGAAGCAGAAGTGTAACTAAGATCTAGATCTCTTTGACATTCTCCTCCTTGCTAACAGATTTGACATTTGAAAAAATGTCCAGGTAGATGGTTATAGACATCTGTTATCCTTGAAAAGAAGTTGTTTTTGTCACTTTTCTTATGGGAGACTGTATATGATAATGTGCAGACAGTTGAAGGATTTAAAAGCTTGATTTTTTTGACTGTGACTCATTTTGGGAAAACTAAGTATACATTTCATAATAATATTTAGAGAATATAGATACACA